ATGTACATGTCGGTGGTGGATGTGATATACATGTACATATACATGCGTACATGTACACAGTGCGATGAAGCCTAGTGCAAAGGATGCTGGAATAAATAAGTATTTTGTGCAGGAGTAATGACTTGAGGTTGGTGGATTTGGTATACAGTATCTACAATATGACAATATAACAGTATGAACAGCTCTGAAATAGAGAGTGGTGAATAAATAAAGTTTTAGTGGAATAAAACTGTAGTGACTTTAATATGTGCATTCTAGACAAGGTAGCTTTGAATTGTATAGTGGACTACAGCACCTTTCAGGCAATGTTGTGTTTACCTTTAATCAGAATTTAAATACCAGTTTTGTCTGTACACAAAATTATCAGGCCAGATCTCACAGTGGATGTTTAAGATTAAAGCAAGTATAAATGAATCAACACATTTCAACATAAAATAGTTTTCTTATATTGTTAACTTTACCCCTTGGTAACTGACCGCCAACATTTTAACAAGTATTTCATTGTATATAACATGATAGCCTACAGGTTTTCAGCACTTCCATCAGTACTGCAGCTGTTACTACATGCAGCTACATTGATATTGCAAGCTGCACAAATATTCCCTGTTCCTTTCAGGTACTGGTATGCCGAAATTACCGGGGCGATGTGGACATGTCAGAGATTGAGCACTTCATGACACTTCTCATGGACAAAGAGGAGGAGGGGACGCTCTCGCCAATCTTGGCCCATGGAGGAGTTCGTTTCATGTGGATCAAACACAATAACCTCTACTGTATCCTTGCAAGCAACTTGTCAACACTTGGTATTAAATTCTTTTATGCTGCCTTTTCAAATCTTGTCACTAAAATTCTTAACACACATCACCTCAGTGGTTGCAACATCCAAGAAAAATGCTAGCGTCTCGCTGGTCTTCTCCTTCTTGTACAAAATTGTCCAGGTAGGATTGGATTGGTAGGATTTACTTGCTTTTGTCTACAGTAGATTTGAATAATAAACAATACTAACAAAGCCATATACATTGTATTTACAGTGACGCTCAAACAGGATTATGAAACAGTGTTTGTGTTCTGCAGGTTTTTTCCGAGTATTTCAAGGAATTGGAGGAAGAGAGCATTAGAGATAACTTTGTCATCATATGAGCTGATGGTGAGCTGATGGACTTTGGGTTATCCTCAGACCACAGACAGCAAGATCTGCAAGAGTGAGTAAACTCTCACTGCAATTAACTTTATGTCCATTCATGAGAGATGCAACTAATAAATACTGCCATTATTGAATGCTTCATTCTTAGTTGTCAACTAATATTTTTAAGTAATACTATTAAATACTATTAATCGGTTTGAGTACTTTCCAGCTTTCGATTATATATTTCTGCTTTCTTTCCAATCCACTATGACAGTAAACGAATATCTTTGGGTGTGGACAAAACGAGACTTGAGGACAACTCTTTGGGAAACATTTTTCACAATTTTCTGACATTTTATAGACATAGACCAAACAACTAATCGAGATGTAATCAATACATTAATCAATCAACAATGAAATAATCGTTAGTTGCAGCGCTATTTTTTTTTTTTAACCACTTTTT